CCTAACCACCTGGCCATGCCGGGCCATACGACTTATTAGGCTACGATATTTATACCGGGATACATTTGATGTGTAGTTGCAACAACGTGATAGATTAAATTTCATAAAATTCACAAGGCGTTTGAGTGATAGTCCATTACGATATCTCTATTCCTTTGATTGTTCTTTCTTCTTTTCAAATTCAAGTAACATATTTTCTTTTCTTTGATTGCTTCTTAATTTTCACAAGTCTTAATATACTAACACTAACCTGCACTTGTCAGGCGTTGGTCTTGTCTTGAGTAGCCCCGACTCCTGTTGCTTATTTTTGTGTTTAAATATTTCCTATTTGTTTGTGACAAAATATAATCTTGGGTGTTTCAATTCTTCAACAACTAGTTTTGTAACGTTTTCCAACTGTAAGAACAACTGTAGTACAACTGTTCCGTTGTATTACAAAATGAAACAATTCAAGTTGTTCCGCTAAAATGTTGATAGAAAGATAGTAAAAATATTGTTTCCATTAAAATGTTGATAGAAAGATAGTAAAAACATTGTTTCCATTAAAATGAATCATGAATGGTACTATTTTGAAGCTTGTAAGCTACGCAATTAATTCATTTAAAATGTAAAAGGAGAGATTCAAAGAAAAGTATAAGAAAAATATACACGTCTGAAAACTATTATTCTTTTTTATATATATATACACAGCTCTGCTGAGCTTTCTTGCACCTGCATCAGAGGATTTTATGTCGTATAACATATTGGAATGTGACTATCGCTGTGTAGCTGGATCACGTGTCATCAGAACTAGCTCTAGGCTATCATCTTTTAATTTCCACCCCATAGTTGTAGTTGAAGGTGGAACTGATACGTAATTATTTGCTTACTTACATGCTATTGTCTGACAATGGGCTCCTCTTCTTTGAAACAAGCAAACGTCATTCATTGGTGGCATGTAGTCAGGTCCTTTGGATATTCCAAAACATAACATTACGTGCTCTGTCGACACTTTCAACTGTTTGCCTATAAAGTGTGCAAATCAATGATTCGACTGCCTTAATACTTTTCTCTGTAAATTTGCCTTTACCAACTCATTTTGGTAATGCTGCATTATCTCTGACAACCTTTTAAACTGACTTCTTTGATACCATGGAAATATAACGTTGTATCACATGGAATTCGAGTATATTTTAGTGAACTCTTTCTAATAGTATGTTTGTTTTGAAATTCTGTTCACTGGAATAAATGTTCGCTTCTTTACTGTTCCCGCCATCATCCATACAGTTGCATTGATTTTCGCAAATAAAACAGCAACAGTAATAGGACATCATTGTCTCTTGCTGTTACAACAATGTTATAGCAACAATGCTGTGCACTCCAGTGTATCGCATAAAGAATTTCCTCCAGTAGCTCAGCGG